TAGAAACTTAAAAACTTCGAAAAGTCATCTTATTTTTAAACAGGCCAATTACTATATAGAAAAGAAATCAGAGAAAACACTATTTTCTTAAAATAATCCAACTGAGCCTGGATTTAAGTGAACTAACTTTTATTAAGGACAGGGACTGAGGCAGGCAGGCCTGAGGCTTGGAGGCTGCTTTTCACTTGAGTGTGGCTCTATATTAAGGCTGGGGCCTAAGGTAGGTGGGCTGGGGCTCAGGGGCTGATTTTAGCTTGTGGATGGCTCTATTTTAAGGGCTTTGCCCAAAGTAGGCAGGTGCAGAGGGGTTAGGAACAACTAAGGGAGATGAATTTTTCTGTCAGTTTGTTGTCCTGTGGTGGCTTATGTGCTGCTATGATACTGGAGGCTATACCACTGCGTTGCAAAATGCCAGGAGGGTTACCCATGCTGGGCAGGTTTCATTTCAGGAGGTAGCATATGATCAAGAACCAATGGTATTGAAAGAATAAGTTGAAGCTGCACTGAAGGAATTGGCAAAGAACAAGGCTCCAGGAATTGAAGGAATGCCCACTGAGATGTTTCAACAAATGGATGGTGTGCTGGAGGCACTCACCTGGCTATGCCAAGAGATTTGGGAGATAGCTACCTGGCCAACTGACTGGAAGAGATCCAGAAAGGTAATCCCACAGAATGTGGAAATTATCAAACAATATCATTAATATCATATGCAAGTAAAATCTTACTGAAGATAATTCAAAAATGGTTGCAGCAGTACATTGACAGAGAGCTTCCAGAAATGCAAGCTGGATTCAGAGGAGGACATGGAGTGAGGGATATCATAACTGATGTCAGATGGATATTGTTGTTATGTGCCATGCAGTCAGACCTGACTCATAGTGACCCCTCCTGGGTTTCCGAGGCAGCATCACTATGGAAGTAGATTGCCCAACCTTCCTTCAGAGGAGTGGGTGGTGGGTTTGAACCATTAGCCTTCTGGTTAGCAATCAAGTGCCTTAGGCACTACACTACCAGAGCTCCTTAGATGGATATCAGCTGAAAGCAAAGAATACCAGAAAGATGTTTACTTATGTTTTATTGACTATGCAAAAGAATTTGATTGTGTGGATCATAACAAGTTATGGATAACATTGAGAAGAATGAGAATTCCAGAACACTTGATTGTACTCATTAGGAACCTGTACATAGATCAGGAGGCTGTTGTTCAAACAGAACAAGGGGATACTGCATGGTTCAAAATCAAGAAGGGAGTGGGTCAGGGTTGTATCCTTTCACCATACTTATTCAACTTGTATGTTGAGCATATAATCCAAGAAGCCAGATTTTATGAAGAAGAACATGGCATCAAGATTAGAGGAAGACTCATTAACAACCTATGATACGCAGAGGACACAACTTTGCTTGCTGAATGGGAGGATGACCTGAAGCACTTACTGATGAATATTAAAGACTACAGTTTGCAGTATGTATTACACCTCAGTATAATGAAAACAAAAATCCTCACAACTGGTTCAATAAACAGTTTCACAGTGGATGGAAAAAAGATTGAAGTTGTCAAGGATTTCATATTACTTGGTTCTACAATCAACACCAATGGAAGCAGCAGTCAAGATATCAGATGACTAATTGCATTGGGCAGATTTGCTGCAAAAGACCTCTTTCAAGTGCTGAAGAGCAAAGATGTCTCCTTGAAGACTAAAGTGCACCTAACCCAAGCCATGGTATTTTCAATCACGTCTATGCATGTGAGAGCTGGACAATGAATAAGGAAGACCGAAGAAGAGTTGATGCTTTTGAATTGTGGTGTTGGAGAAGAATGCTACGAATACCATAGTCTGCTCAAAGGACTAACAAATCTGTCCTGGAAGAAGTGCAGCTGAATGCTCTTTGGAAGTGAGAATGGCCAGACTTCATCTCACCTACTTTGGTCATGTTATCAGAAGGAACCATTCCCTGGAGAAGAATATCATGCTTGGTAAAGTGGAGGGTCAAAGAAGAAGAGGAAGACCCTCAACGTGATGGATAGACACAGAGGATGCAATGATGGGCTCAGGTATAGCAAAGATCGTGAAGCTTGCACAAACCAGGCAGTGTTTTGTTCTGCTGTGCATAGGGTCACCGTGAGTCAGAGACTACTCAATGTCACCTAACAACAACAACAAAAACTTTTATTCAGAATAACCTTAATGCAATTTGTTATTGTAAAACTACAGAAAATTCTGAGTTGTTGAAACACACATAAATGATGGTGTAGTTGGAGAGCTGGGCTTTATTAAAAACATAATATCTAGGTTTCATTCAGAGTTTAAGAAGACATGGGAAAACAGAAACAAGGTAAGATGTAGATATATAGGTATTTTACACATAAGACTTCCACATCCCAAAATATAGCTTGTTATGGAATTCAGTCACCTATTCTTGGTTCTGTCAAAAATAAGCAAAGAAAAATAGGGAACACTTTGAACAATGGTCATCCAGAGTTATCAGAAGGTTCTTACTTATCCAGAAAATATTTGCATCCTGATGGTGCTGTGGTTAATGCATTGGGCTGGTAATCAAAAAGTCAGTGGTTCAAATCCACCAGCTATTCCACAGTAGAAAGATGAGGCAGTCTACTTTGTTAAATAATTACAGCCTTGGAAACCCCATGGGGGCAGTTCTACTCTGTCCTATAGGGTTGCCATGAATTGCTTGCATCCAAAATGTATTGTATTGAGAGAAAATATAATTTCATCCTTGGTTCTGTTTGGCTACATATATGTTTTAATAGCTGTTATTCTCAGAGGTAAATGATAGACATCCTTTAAAAAGTTATAAAAATGTTAATTACAGTATGATCATTTATCATGTAACAATTACTTGCTTTCTCTGGTAAACATATAACTATGGGAGTGTAGGAAGTGCTGAATATCTGAAGATAAATCAATTCTTCCCCTTGGAGGTGAGTTTACTCTTCTTTGAAATCTAGACATAGTGTCTGGAAATAGTTTGGGAGGGCGGAAGTGGTCTGGAATACCCAGAGAAGTCTCTTAGAATGGGTAAACTTAACCTTTATTTTCTACCTCTTTTCTCTGGTGAATTCTAGACGCTCCTTTGTAGCCTTAAATTGTGCTATGATATTTGTCAAGTATTAATGGGATCAGCAGTGGAGGGAATCACTGGCACCTCAGCAACCGGTCTGAAATAAAAGGGAGGGCTTGCCCCTTTCTGGGGCATATCAAATATGTAAATGTCAAATTTACTAGAAGACAACACTGTTGGAAGTACTTCTAACTGAAAAAAAAAAAATCAATTCTGTCCTGAAAACACTTCAAGGCTTTATACACTGACTTTTCTGCATTGACTTTGGGCATCAGAGCATTTATTTCTCCAACTATCCTGACAAACTCTAGACTCCGAAAAGCTCTTTTACATCACTAAGTAAATTATCATTTATTAGCAGCTTTACGTAACCTCCAGGTCCTTTAGATCACTTTCAGTTTTCTTTGTCCTGGATATTTTTAAATGACAGGTAAAAATAATCTGTTCTGTGCTATAGCAGACAGAAATTATTGCCCTGAAAGGAAAGAACTCTTGTTTTAGCTAAAGCTTCATTTTAGATAGTTTATTTTAAATGGGAATACAGTATCATAATCTGGTAAATTTACTATGAAACGGTCAATTTTCTGTGCTGTAAAACTTTTCATGCAGTGTTTAAAAAATAAAACAAAGTAAACATGATAAAATAAGGAAGAGGAGTGAGGAAGCAGAAAAGAGAACCACAGTTTTCTGAGAGCAGGGCCATATCCTTAGGGCAAACTGGTTGCTGTTACATTTGGCCAGAAGAAAAAACTACTAGACACTGTTTCTCTTGCCCAATAGGACATAAAGAAATAAAAGTCTGCTGAATAGGTCAAGAGAATGACACCTTCCCGTTTTGATAGTTGTTCTTTACTAAAACATTTTTATTAACTTTTATTAAATATGCCCTAACACTGTAATAAGAGGAGCTCTGGTAGCGTAGATAGAGCCTAAGGCACCAGAAGGCTGTGGTTCAAACCTACCAGCCACTCCTCAGAAGAAAGGTTGGGCAATCTACTTCCATAGAGATACCGCCTTGGAAACCCAAGAAGGGGTCACTATGAGTCAGGTCCGACTCGACGGCACATAACAACAATAACAACATAACTCAGTTCATCATTACAAGTATAAAATGGTCACTATTATTACTCCTCCATTTTATAAATGAAGGAACTGTGGCTCAGAGAGTTCAAATAACTTTCTTAAGGTCACACAGCTAGTAAATTGTGGAGCCATTAAATCAAACCCTGCCTTTCTGATTTCAAAACTGTGTTCTTAGAACTGTTATGCTTTAGTATCTTTATCTAACGGTGAAGGGGAAACTGGCTTTGCAAGGCCAAAGATGGTCATCCTTGTTTTTTGATATCCCACTTTTACTTGATACATCCCTCTTATGTAACTTTTGGTAGGCTTTGGAGGTCCAAGTTCTAATGTAGCCATCTTTGTACCCCAAAGCCATCAAAATCCCTGCCTCCCACTGGAGGGTGTGAGGAATTCAACTGGTCCTGCCACCACCACCCAGGACCAGTTTTATATGTAATAAACTCCTTGCTGCCACCCATGGAATTGCCTGCCTTCTTCTTTGGTCCCAAGGCACCTTAGGCAAATTTCAAGTTACTGGTACATGCCAAGACAAATGGCAATGCTGAGTTAATTAAGAAGTGAGAAAGCATTGCTACATCTAGTATTCCAAGTACTTTATGCAATCCTAAATGATTTAGCCTTCTCTAAGATTTTTCTAGTTCTTCATCTCACCCCTACCTTTCCACAGCAATACATTCCCCACTTGAGGATGAATAGCAGGGACAGAGTAGCCAAAGCTAGCACCTTTTCTAAGAATCCTATTTCAAGGGTGTCCCACTCTTTTTACCTCATTAATGCATGTCAACAAGAAATCAACAATATTCCCACCCCTTTGCTTCTCATTTGACCCAACTTACTCCATGGAATCCATGATTTTTTTTGGCTCCACAGGGCATGAGTAGATCACTTCATCGATATACTTCAGGTTACAATTTGCATAGGCAGTAGATATATGGACAAAAGCTTCAAGCTTTGTCATCTGATTGGCCATAAGCAAGAGCTGCTGGGTAGCAGAGACGTTAAGTTGCATGGCATGTCTAGAAGGACAGAAGAAAATGCAATGAGGTAATTCAGCATCCTGCCTTCCTATATATAAAGCACCTACTTCAATTTGACTGCTAACTAGAAGGCTGGAGGTTCAAACCCGCCAGCCACTCCCTGGAAGGAAGGTTGGGCAATCTACCTCCATAGTGATACCACCTCGGAAACCCAAGGAGGGGTCGCTATGGGGTGGATCCGACTCCGTGCAGTGGTTGCGTTTGTTGTGTTCCAATAACTAGCATATCTACTAGAATTTAGTGGCTACCTCAAGAAACATGAATAAAAGTATTGGTCATGACTAAAGTTATGTGGGATTTGGAATGTGTTATGTGCTGAGGGCAAATTCTGTGTACATAAATCTATTCACTGAACCACTACATATTGTGCTTAGAGGTCACTTTGTTCTAAATCATATGGGAAAAAAAATCACAATACTCTGAGTTTATAAAGGGGTTTTTAAAAGCAATCATGATGATAAAGAAATGACGATTAATGAATTAAGTATCTAACTCAAGAAGATGGTAAATGCGAATAAATTGGAGAGGAGCAACAACAATATGAATTGTTACTGCAAAAGTCCAGGTCAGACATAAAAATTGAGCTCAAAATCCTAAATTTTGGTGAATACAAAGCTATATAAACATAATATGTAATGATAATGAAATAGTTCATTCCAGAAATACATGGCTTATCCAATATCAGGAACTCTATTAATCTAATTTTGACTCAAAAGGAGAAAAACTATATGATCATCTATATATATTTGGGAAAGTTATTTATTGACATTGAATATTTATTCCCAATTTAAAGGTAAATGACTACTTCTAAAAATATGTCAAGCCTTGTAAAAATATGTCTTGTAAAAGACAAATGGTTAATTAGTGAATATTCTAAGTTTTAAAATTAACAAGAAAAAAAAGTTCAATAAAACAATAGGTGAAGAACACAAAGAAGCATTTTAACAAAGAGCAAACTGTCAATAAACATTTAAACATCATCAACCTTTCTAATCATCGAAGACAAAAAATTAGAACATGAGATAGTATGTTAAAAAAGGAACCTGGGCACATCTGGTACATAGCTGATGATTCTGCTTTTGGGGATTTAGTCAAAGAAGAGCACACAAAGGTGTGAAAAAAAAATGTGTGCATAAGGACATCCAGAACTGTTTAAAATAGTGAAAAATTAGAACAACCCAAATGTCCAACCAAATAGATGTGATTGAATATATTATATGTGTACCATGTGGTCATTATAAATTATGATAGCCTATTTATGGACAATGAAAATGATCAGGAAATATAATTGAGCCAGCTGGAAAACATCATTCTCAATATGATGCCATTTTGAGTGAACATATGTCTATATTATTACAGATGCATAAAGGAAAGTCAGGAGAAATGTTCTCTACAATGTTTAAGAACCATCTCTAGGCAGTGGGATTTTAGAGAAGTTTCACATTCTTCTTTATATATTTTTAAAATAATGAGAATGTATCATCATTTTATAGAAACCATAAAAAAAGAAACCAAAAACTATATGCACACACGTATACATACAAGCCATGATCAGGAAATGGGAATGTACCTCAGATGGTCATCAAAGCGCACTGTCGCAGCACAATGGAAGATAATGTTTGTATAGGAGAGAAGCTCCTGCATGTCCTCCTTGCTAATGGCTAAGTCATTCTGATCGAGGTCTGCATAAATAGCCCTGATCTTCTTGTGCACATTGGGGCAAACTTCTTTGACTTTTTCAAACAGCTGAAACATAAATACAGATTAGCACATGAAGATCATCTGCACACTGTTCTTTTTTTGCACTGGCTGTTTCATTATACATTCTCAAAAACTGGTTTTAGTTGTATTCATAATACCCAAAGAAGTCATCTACACAGTACCCATCTGCTTTATTTCATGCAATTCGAAGCCAGTTTAGTATAATTCCAGCTCCTCTTAACCTGATTAACATTTGAAAAAGTCAGGAGCTCTGGTGGCCTAGTGCCTAAGGCATTTGACCGCTAACCAGAAAGCTGGTGGTTCAAGCCCACCAACACTTCTGAGAAAGAAGACTGGGCAATCTAGAGATACCGTCCCAGAAACCCTAGGAGGGGTCACTATGAGTCAGAAATGACCCAACAGCAGTGAATTTGGTTTTTGTTTTTTGGAATAAACAGGAAGACATCCATTTTGAACCTTTCCTGAGGAGTGGTAGTCAGTCATCCACATCAATTGTCCTTGATCCCCTTTAAGACAGCTTTGTGTTGACATGAGGTGATAGTTTCAATTTTTGGCTGGGAAATTATTGTTTTCAGTGCAAAATTACCAAATTTTACACTGCCTTTGCAATTTTACAAACAAATCTCATTAAGTTCCAGTTTAAATAATTTGGTTAAGTGGCCCAGATTAACAAATGGCACAGACATAACTGGAAAATAATATAGTAAACAAATTTGTAATAGATAAAACAAAATAAAATTTTATGCAATCTCATTCTAATGTAAATTAGGTATTGACAGTATTGGCCGTTATTGATTAGTAAGAGAATTACATGAGCTCATGCAGTTTTTATGGGATTTTAAAATATTATAATTTATTTATAAAGAAAAATGGGAAAAGCACTGGAAGTTTGAGCTTTTATTACAATTATTGAGGTGGAATATATTCTTTATTTCTCTCTCCACACAGAAATTCTCAGATTAACCTGATATAATTCCATTTTCTCAGAAAATAAAATTTTCATAAAATTATCTCAAAACCAGTGAAACCAAACTCATTGCCATCTAGTCAGTTCTGACTCATAGTGACCTCCACTGGGTTTCCAAGGCTGTAAACCTTTAAGAAAGCAGACTGCATCATCTTTCTTCCATGGAGTGACTGATGAGTTTGAATCATCGATCTTTTGGTTAACAGCCAAATGCCTTAACCACTGCATCACCAGAGCTCCTTAAAATTATCTCAGCTCCAACTTATTATAATAAAATGCAGTTTTACTCTGTAATTGGTATGGCATGTTAGTAATGAGAAAAAGATAACTACAGTTGAATGTTTAGAAAGTTAAGAGCAGAGAAATTAGTCTTTAGCTTTACATTATAATATAGTAGCAGAGACAGACTCCCAGGCGCCCCCCTAAACAAGAAAACTTTCATTTTCTTGATCCTTAGTAGCAAGCTTCCTGTCCTCATGAAAGAGCTAACCCAGGCTTAAGAAGCTGTTGTCAGGAAGTCAGAGAAATCATGTCTCATTTGTATCAGGAGAGACCATATTCAAGGACCATTCCAGGAATTCACTGAAGATGAGTGAGGAAGGGACTTAAATCCATATATTGGCTTGGGAAGGTAACATCTCACTGAGCTATACTATTCTTCTGCAGTGTGGAGTCAGCCTTGTTAATGGGATGTTACTGCAATTCTGAAAATAATTCAGTTGAATCCATTCTCTATGCTTTTTTGACATCTTGAAGTGATAAGGTTGATAAAGTGTCCTAGGGAGATTCTTTTGAACAGCTATTCTAATCATGCTAAATGTTTGCTTTCACAGTTAAATATTTTCCCTCTTAATAGTTCATGCCAATTGTGCAACCAACTTATGTTGGATTTTGGATAAGTTTATCTAAAATTTGGGCAAGTTCACTCTTTTTAAATAATTTGTTGTAGGCTGCCTGCATGGTAAATTGTATTCACTGAAAATTTATTTAAGGTTCACTGGAGTCTTTGACTTGGGCCTGTAATGACTTCTGACTGCTAGAGAGCAGGAGGGGGTGATGACTTCAGTCTCTACCCTCCCAGCAATAGCTTCCTCACATATGATGTAATTTTTCATACATAGGTTTTCTGTTGCCTTTTTCTTATGCTTTTAAAAGGTAGATGATACTGTTATACTGTATTATATTTTCCAACAACCTGCACAATATTAAGAGAGCCCCAAGATGCTCTATTTTCAGTATTATTATTTTAGGAGATAATGTCCCAATCTAGGTTCTATTTATAGACTTATGTTTTCAAATTAGAAAGTATATCCAAATGAACATAGTTCAATTAAATGAAGTCTGAGGTTTCTGATTCATATAGCAATTAATTATGCTCAATTAAAATCAATCAATTGATTTGCTGTAATATAAAATACAATGTGAAATGCTGATCTCATTTTGCTCTATTAATTGTGTCTTAATAATTGACTTGCTTTGTCAGAAATTTCACCATACCACTACAAAAAAAAAAAAAAAAAAAAAACCAAACCTACTACCATTAAGCCGATTCTGACTCATAGCGACCCCTATTGGGTTTCCAAATCTGTAAATGTTTACAGTAGTAGATTGCCTCATCTTCCTCCTGCAGAGCAGCTGGTAGGTTTGAACCACTGGCCTTCTGGCTAGCAGCCTAATGCCTTACCAACTATGCCACCAGAGCTCCTTGTACCACTATAGCATCTAATAAAATAGTAATCTTTAAATGTTGCCATATCCTAAATCAAGTGCTTGATGTAACAGCCGACTGCCATCCAAAAAGCCAGTGGTCTTGACCAGGGCCTTTCAAAGTGTTGGAAGTCTTTGGGTGGTGCGAATGGTTAACATGTTCATTAGTGGTTTAAAGTCTACCCAGGGGCACCTCAGCAAAAAGGCCTGGTGATCTACTTCTGAAAAACCAGCCATGGAAAACCCTACGGAGTGGAATTCTACTCTGACACATCTGGGGTTGCCATGAGTCAGAACTCACTCAATGGCAACTAGTTTTGGGTTTTCTAAGTGTTAGCCTCCAAGAGACTTGCACTGAAATCACCACCAGTATGAATGCTACAAATGTGGATCCCTGGCCTCATTCCAAGTGTCTTAAGTAACGACTGAGCCATACCCAAGGATTTATATTTACACTTATCACAAACAAAGGGAACTTCTTTAGTAGGAGTGTTCATATGAACAATTGAGGATGAGCAATTGCTTATAACTCGTTTCCTTTTATAACTGCCCAGGGCGTTCTCCACATCACTGATTTTCCAACTGTGTGGTCATACGAAAAATCTGGGAATCTGGATAAAACTTCTTTCTTTCTTCTACTCTCAGAGATCCGGACTCAGGAGGTTTGATGTGTAACCCAGGAAGTTGTATATCTTAACCAGCTCCCAGATGCTAAATGTTTGCTTTCACAGTCAGATATTTTCCCTCTTAATAGTTTATGTCAAGTTATGATACAGGTGGTCTAGGGACCACACTTGGGAAACACTAACTCTGAAGATTCATGTCTGTTCTTAATCTCAAGGCTTAAAATAACCCCCACCATCTAGTTTGTAAATCCCTTGAGTCTTGTTCATCCCTTAATGCTCAATAACACTTACTTCCTTGAAAAAGAAGTTGTGTTGAATTGAAATTAATTTCTGTAAGAATAGAATAGAATTATAAACAGGAGCTTAATTGCTGAAATTGTTTTGTTACCAACTCTTTTGTGTCAGTGAGATGTAAGACAGCAGATGGCTACTGTTAAAAGGGATCACAGTATTGTGTCCTCTATATTAAGTGCCAGTGAGAGTTGGGAGAGCCCAGAGCAGAGCCTCTTCTTTTCTAATAATGAGGATGAAACAAGACAAATACACAGATGGATCCTGGTAAGACACCAGCTTTTCCGAAGCTGTTCTTTGCTAATGTGAGCCATTAGTTAAAACTAAAGAGAAAATAAATGGACTAAAAAGAGTAAAGAAAATAATAATAATAATAATAATAATAATAATACAGTGCAAGCTGCAAAAGCTAGAACTTGTTTAAGGCAGAAATCTGTCAGAGAAGGAATTTTTCACTAAAACAGGCCACAGAAAAGTGGTAAGATTGATTACCTGTCAAAGGTAGGAAAACTTGGAAGACCCAGAAAACAATGCAGTCCGGTTGAAGATTGTCTCTCACAGGTTTCACTGGGCTTTCAAAAGTTTCATTAAAGACCAACTAATAAAGAACTTAATGTAGTTGTTTCAGATTTTAAGAACTTTTCGTATTCCTTCTTATCTCATAAGCTCATACATTCCTTATTTAGTGACTTAAGACTGAGAGGGTAAAGAGTTAAATAACTGTTTCCCATTGTCCAGTCTCCTGCAGAGAAAATGCTTTCCCTTGGCTACAGAGGTCATGCCCACAGGGTTTCTTGAAACCTAACAATTTCTCTTCATAGTTTTCTCATTCTACTGAGCCTTCTTAGAGTTTGCAGTGTTTCTCTCTTGCCTCTGGACTATAAGTAACTATTGCCATAAATGGAATAGACGCTCTTGTTTAGAAACAAAGGAGGCAAATCCTTGCCTGTGAAATGTCAAATTAAGGGAACATTCCCAAACTTTCTAAGGGAAATTTATAGCTTTGTTATCAGTTCACAGTACTTATGTATCACCTCCTAGTTTTTATCTTTCAATGATCACAGAAATGTGTCCTGTTCTCATCGGGAACACAATTTCAGAAAATAGGAAAGCATTTTCTCTGCTTGGGAGTCTTAGAGTTTTATTCAGTTTATCAAGGCCCTTCTTAAAATATATAGTCTCAATAACCTACCAAAATATGCTTGATATTTTTATTTTGGGAAGAAAAAAAAGCAAAGTTCCCTAAATTAAAAGGGTGTTTTATTCAGTTGTTGTTATCACCAGTCAGCCATATCGTAGATGCCCACCTGTGCCTTTGGTGGTGTGAGGATAGACATAAGGATGGGCAAAATGGTGGATGAACAAGAACAAATACATTACCACCAGTGGAAAGAATCTCAAAGAGAAAGAGAGCCTCTAACATTTATCAGAGA